GTTGTCTCTACTCTCCCTTCCCCATTGTTGTCTTGCTCTTCCCCATTCAGGAAACACGATCTATCTGAGTAGAAGAAAGCTTCCCCTGAAGAAACTGCTTGTTCATTCTTGGGTTATGACAGCCAGCTTGAACTTGCACCCGCTGCTTTACACCAGAGTCATTTCACCTGCTGTATCAGGGTTATGGGAGACCCTGCCTCACTGGAAAGCACACAGAGTGAAAATGGGTCTGATTCCTCCTCACTAGCTCTGGGTGTCTGCCATATAGGCCCTGTCCATACCACGAAACGGAACAGCACTGGGGACTGTTTTCTGGCTCTGAGACCAAGTGCCCAGCCTGGTCTTCATGGCGCTTGTGCTGATGGTCTCCTAAAGGCTGTGTGTAATGCACTGTGGCTGTAATACTTCGTCGCATTTTTTATGTCTTTTTTTTACGTCAAAATATCTGATATAACAGGAAAACTGTTGTGGCCCATAAAACTGATGTTTGTGTAATATGAAAGTGGAAGGTGTGTTACATGCTTTGAGGCTGTAGAGCTGCTGAGATAGAGTTGGAACAGGAGGAAGAGACCCAAGTCTCACTTTCTATTGGAAGCAGTCTTTGTTGTGTGTGCGTGGCAGCCAGAGCTTTTCCTGGTGCCAGCTAGAGGTTCTCCTGGTGCCAGCTAGAGGTTCTCCTGGTGCCTAGGCATTGCTGTGGAGACACTAGTTGGCCTTGGCCAGAACTACGCCAAAAGCTTGCTGGCAATTTAGCGTTCTAGTGAATCAGCTGTCCAGCATTAAACCTTGCTCTGTGTCCTCAGTCTATTTAGCAGCACAGATGTAGTAACAAAACTCTGGTTTCGTTCATGTGGGTGTGAGGTTTAAGCACAATACTCTGATGTAGGCCTCTTCATTCTGAATAATAGGGGTGAAAGAACCAATTGGTTGTGGATGCCCATGTGCCAGATCCCTTGTCCAGGGAAGACAAGACTGTGATTAGCAAAAGAACCTGGAGTACACGGGCGTGCAGACGGCATATCTCAGATGTTGTGAATCAGAGCTTGGAGACACAACCAAAACTGCAACAGGCGGGTTTCTTGGCAGGAGCAAAACAGTACAGTGAAAAGGCACTTGAAGCAATAAATAGGATGTGTAGGCTGATTCTTCAGGTGGGGAAGAACACCCCTGGCCCTATTCTGACAGCCTAAATTTGACTTACCTCCTGGAGACTACCAATCTGTACAGGCACCTGAAGACCTGTGCTGGCTCACAGGAAGCATCACATGGGTGGAATTTAGGCTGCCCCAGTAGGAAGCTATTGGCCTGTTGATACATATCTGCTGTTTTATGGTCCAAGCCTCTTCTTTTCTGATGTGTGAGCCAGAACTGCAGCCTGTCGTGGGGTAGGAAATGCTTCTGCTGTGCTGAGGTAGGTGGCAGGAAGAAGTGGGAGACAGGCTGTCCCACAGCTTTGGCAGAACACACAACATAAATAGCAATAATCCATAAATTAAAGGAGATGCAGTTCAAGCTGTTTACTACCAGTCTCCAAGATATATCGACTCGTAGTCCAACAGGGCAAATTTTAGTTGGTCTCCTGAGGTTTTTATTTTCCGTCCTTTTCTTATTCAGTGCAATATGCGTCTTGACACATATTCCTTCCCTTTCCCTCGCACCTACAACGAAACTTCCAGGTACGAGATGACTAGTGTTACCTGAGTATAAAAAAGTAACAAAGATGACTCCTCTTCATCCTCAGCCAAGTGCTCCCGGGAAAAAAGTGGAGACAGAAATATAAGCTTCCTCTGCCTACAGGTAAGGATGCTAAGTAGGCACAGATACATATATATAATGTACATGTATATCAGCATATATACAATTCCAGCAGTGCATATTAAGTTATTTTAATGACAGATTCAATTAATAAATTAAAAAAAAAAAAAAAAAAGGAAAATGGCATTTAGAACAACGATAATTTTGCTTCAAAACGTTCCAGTACAAAGTCCTGGAAACTTCGCATCAGCCCTGCCGGCTGGCAGTCCGGAAACTGCTTCTGTACAAAATTAATCCGGACCCGCGCTCAGACTTTTTAGGGCTAAAAACTGACTTAAACGCGCCGCCTCCGCGGGGCACCCTCCCGCGGGGGC